CCGCGAGCTCATGTCCCAGCTGACCTGGGTTCCAGATTGGCGCTCCAGAGCACGGGCCTGAGAGCTCTCCACGTTTAAGGGTCTGGGTAGCCTGGTGCCGGGGCTGGAGTGCGTTTTGTTGGTCAGTGGACACCGGAGTCTGGGGCTGTCCGTTCCCAAGTCCGTGTTCCAGCTGAGGGCCCCATCCAGGTGTGGTGCACCTGGACCCCGTGATCAGCCTGCATGTACTCCATGTCCACTGACCTCGGTTGTCCTGCACGGATGCGGTCAGGCTTCCTGGAGCGCTGAGGCAGTGTTAGCGTCAGGTCGGCCAAATCTCGCTCTGGCGACACGGCGGGGCCGACAGTGAAACGCACGGGCTGCAGTCCTTGGCTCTGACCGGAGGTGTGGTACGAACTTGCAGAGACGCACGAGGGCCGTCGCCGTGGGAGCGAACAAGTGTGCACATGCCGAGTCCTTAAACGTGGAGAGCTCTCAGGACAGCTGCCAGAGCCGCCCGCGGGCAGCGTGGGCTGCAGAGCCCGTGCCGGAGGGCAGGCGCTCGCCTTCCAAGCGAGGCGCGTCCCACGGCGAGTGGGCTGCGGTGGCCCGAGGCGAGGGGTGCCGTGAGCCAGGCAGGTGGTGGCCAGTACATGGCTGCTTGTGACCGAGCACATGTGGGCTCTTCCACCAGGAGGACACGGAGAGGACGCAGATCAACGTCCTGGCCGTGCAGGCCATCACCTCTCTGGTGCTGAGCGCCATGACTGTGCCTGTGGCCGGCAACCCTGCTGTCAGCTGCCTGGAGCAGCAGCCTCGGAACAAGCCTCTGAAAGCGCTGGACACCAGGTTGGCCCGAGTTCCCGGCTCTGTGCCTGGCGGGGAGGGGGCAGCTAGGTGCCCTCTGCCCACGCTGGGCTGGTGACAGCATCTCACCAGGGCTCCGGCACGACGGAATAAGCCACCATGTGCCTTGCGTGGCTGCAGGAGGGGTGAACCAGGGAGGACTCGCCAGCCAGGGACAAGCTGCAGTGAGACATAGAACAGGGGCACGTGGGTGTGGCAGGGCCGGGGGTGAGCAGTCAGGACCGGCCACAGGGCGTGTGGCGAGCTGGGATAGGGCAAGTCTAGGCTGCTGTGCTTTGAGGATTTTGAAGAAAGCAAAGTATTTCCTTTATTTTGAATTGCAGGTTCGGGAGGAAGCTGAGCGTCATCAGAGGAATCGTGGAGCAGGAAATCCAAGCCATGGTTTCAAAGAGAGAGAACATCGCCTCCCACCACCCTTACCAGGCGTGGGACCCCATCCCCTCGCTGTCTCCGGCCACTACAGGTAGGTGCCAGCGGCAGAGTGGCCAGCGAGCTGCCCGCGGGCGGAGGCCTCCAGAGTCACGGCCGCAGGTGCCGAGTCCCGGGTGGCCAGCGGCCAGGGAGGCCCGAGGCCCGAGTAGCCGCGTCTGGAGCTGCGCCGGACCTCGGCAGGCTGGCGCACGCGGGCTTCCAGCAGCCGACCCGGCCACTGTGTGACATGCCGGGGGGTCCCCGGCACCCCGACTGGGGCCTGCTGGCCCAGAGCTCACTGGAAGTTGTTGCCTTGGGTTAAGGGAGGGGTTTTGAGGTTTTTAACCACACGTGTTTTTGAGGGACAGACTGGCCCAGAGTCGCCCTGATACCCTGGGTTTTCGGACTGGTGAGGCCCACAGGCTGCAGTGTGTGGCCAGCGCTGCCCGCGCCTGGATCTGAGTGGCCTGCGCGCCCGGCCCTCGGTCCGGGATGAGGGCTGCAAGCGTGGGTGGCCGCGGGTCGCTCCAGCTGCGCGCAGCCATCAGAGACACGGCAGATGCTGCAGAGCAGGGTCGAGTGGGTGCGGGGAGGCGGCCGGCCTCGTCGGGAGCTGCACACAGCAGTTCTGTCCAGGGGCTCGGGGCCCCCCGAAGAGGTGTGCTGACCCCCGTGGGGGGCTCTGGGGGCGGGATGCCCAGCAGAAAAGGAGGGGCTGACGTGGGAGGCGAGTGGACTTGGGGCTCAGGGCGTGCCCTCTCCTGGCAGAACAAAAGGCCACGGGCGCCCAGACCCTGGTCTAGTCTCCAGGGCCCAGATGCCCGCTGCCCTGCGGCGGCTGCTGGCCTAAGTGCTGTTCTGGCTCGGCCCACCCCTGGCCTTGGCGGCTGAGGGGGACCCAGAGCTCTGCGGCCACTGCCCTCAACCCACGTCGCCCCTCTGGCCTGCCCCGCCGGGGCCTGCAGGCGGCACGGGCAGCTTCCGAGGCGAGTCTCGCCTTCCCGCAGGCGCCCTCATCAGCCACGACAGGCTGCTGCTGCAGGTCAACCCCGAGCGGGAGCTGGGCGACATGAGCTACCAGCTAGGCCAGGTGAGCCCCGCCGGCCCTGCCCCCGCACCTGCCCCCGCAGGGCTGGCTGTTCCCGTCGGTTCTCTGGGCGCGCGCAGACCTAAGTGTGCAGACTGGGGAGGCGGGGCTGGGCCCAGGCTGCGTTACCTGCCTCCTGTCCTCTCTCCACGGCGCTGGTTACTTAGACGCGGCGACCAGAGCCGTGCCGAGGCCACTTCCCGGCGGTCCTGGCGTGTGCCACGCTCTGTCCTTCTCCCCGCACACGGTCCCCTGCGGGCTCCACGCCACAGGGGACGCCCCGTTCTTGTTCCTCTGCGGTGAGATTTCCGCCCGCAGGACTTCCAGGCGGTGGCAGAATTCGATGTCATTTTATGGAAATGTCCTTGAGGGGCTGTGGGGAGGGGCTTGGGGCTGGCTGGGACCACAGGCCCTGTTTGGGGTCTGCTAGCCTTTGCCCGTCTGCGCCACGAGACCCGCGTGTGGAGGCTGTGGCAGGGCTGCGCTGGGGCGCCACCCTGCCCTGTTGGGGCTCCCCGCTGTGCTGGGCCGCCGCTGACTTCATCGAGAGGGTCGAAGCAGGGCCGGGGTGTTGCTCTTTCTGGGCCGAGGAGAGCACTAAGGAACCCGACTCTCTGCAGCCTCAGGCCCAGGGGTGGGAGCCACTCGCTGTAGGTCCGACGCATGGCCCGCCGATTCGTGTTCCCGTGGACGGGCCGCCAGGGAAGGGCGTCGGAGGGCTCTGGGCGGGGCATGCCACCATGGGGTGCCCTCCGGCCCCTCCTGCCCCTGGCAGGATCTCCCCGACAGCTTCAGAGCATGCGCAGAACCTCTCTCGGCTTCCAAGTACTTCAGGAGAATGGGACTTACCGCAAATGGCCGGTCTTGAAAAGAAGTTTGTGCTGGGACCGCATGTCCTGTCTAGGGCCCTTCGGCCCACCCCCTGGCGGCCCCGCGAGTTGACCATCCCTCACTCTCGGCTTTAGTCCTGAAGGCGGAGTTTTCCGGGTCCAGGCTTGGGGCCCCGTGCCCTGCCCGTGGGCAGGCAGGTCCGAAGTGGCCTCTGAGCCAGTGTGTCTGTCGAAGGTGTCCATCCACTCCGTGTGGCTGGGGAACAGCATCACACCCCTGCGAGAGGAGGAATGGGACGAGGAGGAGGAGGAGGAGGCTGACGCGCCCGCGCCGACGTCCCCGCCCACGTCGCCCGTGAACTCCAGGTCCCCACTGTGCTCTGTTTTAAAGCGTTACGGTGAAATGTCTCCGGCCACGCGGTGGGTCTGGGCCCCCCCACGGCCTCGTGCCGGGGTCACCGTCCCGCATGCTCTGCAGGAAGCACCGGGCCGGCGTCGACATCCACTCCTGTTCGCAGTTTCTGCTGGAGCTGTACAGCCGCTGGGTCCTGCCGTCGGGCTCGGCCCGGAGGATGCCCGTCATCCTGATCAGCGAGGTCGTGCGCTCGGTGAGTCCTCCGCCTGCCCTCGCCGCCGGTGCTGGGGCCCCTCCCTGCCCCCGTCTGTCCTCGAGGGCCAGGGCGGGCCCCCTGGCTGGGGGCGAGGCGGAGCCCCGGCTCCTGGCCGGCCGTGCGGGGCTGCGGGCTGAGGCGAGGCCGCGGGGGCCACTCCCCGAGTGCAGTCTCAGAAGTTGAGACTTCAGGTCTCATTTTTAGTTGTAACTGATCGTTTTTAGTTTGTCTTCCTGTTTTCAGAAGAGTCTCAGTGTTTCTCTAAAAGGCTGCTCAGTTCAGTTAGCAGGAGCAATGGTCGCGGTTTTGTTTAAAAGCCGTGTCTTCCGGGTCAGTGGGGAGAGCCTTGCGCGACTTGCCGCGCTGTCTCGGGTCACTTGCTCGTGAGGACAGCCGGCCCCCCTGTGGCCAGCCGGCCAGCACGGAGGGGGCGCCGAGGCACAGCCCCGGCTCTGTCGCGCGGCCCTGCAGAGCCGCTCACCGGCTCCCCGCCGGGCCCCGCCCCCACCTTGGCCTCGACGCAGACGCACCCGCACCCTGTCACGTCTCCTTCAAGGTGTGGCGTGAACAGACACCTGAACGTGTGGGGGACCAGAAGAGTTGCCGCCCTCGCAGCCATCTGCCCGCGGCAGCCTGGGTGTGCCGGGGCTTCCAGCCGGGCCTTTGGGCAGCACCCCGGGCCCGGCGGCGGCTGCCCACCCCTCAGCCACGGCCCTCCCCCGTCCCCACGCGGGCTTCGTCGTGCCGGGCCGCGTCCAGGCGTGTCGGGTGTCCAAGCTTCCGCCCCGCCGTCGCGCGCGGCAGGGCCTTGCCGTCCCGCCCCTGCGTGTGACGGTCCCCTTGCGCCCCGTCTGTGCCTGCAGCTCCTCGTGGTCTCAGACCTGTTCACTGAGCGCAGCCAGTTTGAGATGATGTACCTCACGCTGACGGAGCTGCGGCGGGTGCACCCCTCGGAGGACGAGATCCTCCTGCAGTACCTGGTGCCCGCCACCTGCAAGGCCGCCGCCGTCCTCGGAATGGTAAGGGGCGGCGGGGCGGCCGGCCTGGGGGCCGCCTGCAGCGGGCGTAGGGCCAGGCCGGGCTCTTCGCAGCCATGAGCCTGGGGCGGGGGCGCGCGGGGCCGGCTGAGCCCTCCACAGACTCAGGCCTCCGCCCGCCGGCCCAAGTGCCGCAGACCCTGGGCCTCCAGCCTCCACCTGGGGGTCTGGGCACCCCGTCTTTGTTGACTGCAGGGCCAGATAGTTCCTCTGTGAATTCCCCTTGCGCGCCCCGTGCACGAGCATGGAGCCGCTGCGTGGCGTCCCCAGAAGTCCCCGGACACGGGGTGGTGCCTGTGTGCGCCGCGGGCTGGACAGTGCGCTGAGCTCTTCTGTGCGCGGCTGGTGCCCGTGACCGCGCTACCTCAGCCGGGCGTGTCTCTGCCTCCATGTCCCTGGAGCTCTTGCCAGATGCCTTCGTTTAGCAAACCCCAAGTCGCTGCCAGGTGCCAGGCACCGGGGCTGCGGGTGAAGGTGGCATGGGGCCCGCCGGGTCTTCTGTGCCATGTTCCGACCCATCGTGCCGCAGCCAGACGTCGGCTGAGCTCCCCCCACCCTGTTGGCCCTGACCAGAGTCAGGCCCTCGCTCCTCTGTCGCCCGTGGGGCCCAGCCCCAGGGGAGCCCACTTGCTCCAGGTCACTCGGGGTGAGGCCCCCCCCCCCCAGAACTCTTCTTCCCAGCCCTCCTGGGTGGCCTCAGCCTGGGGCCAGCTCCCAGGGTCAGACACAATGGAGGGCCTTTCTCTGAGCCCCCCGCCCATCCCGCTGGCGCCTGCGGGACACTGCGGCCCTTTCTTCTGTGTGGGCAGTGGCAGCTGCGTTGATGCCCATTGTCCTTGTTTTCCTTCCCGGCCAGGCCCGCGGGCGCTTGTGTTGTCAGAGAGTCACATCAATGAGGAGAGTGTTTTCGAAGCCCCCCGCAAGCAGGGCGGGGGTGCAGCGGCCGTGCGCCCTCCGCCCTCCCGCCTCTGCGTGGCCCTCGCCCGTGTGCCTGGGCCTGCCTGCAGACCGCACCCTGACAGGCCTTGGGGCTGGGTGGGGCCCTAGGCCGCTGCCTCCCCGTTCCCACGCAGCCCCGTTGTGT